TGTTCATTTTATTAAAGAACTAAACTTAGATGGCACAAAAATGAACTCTATGTTTAATTAAATGGTCAAAAGCTTACGCAAAATAATTAAAATTGTTTATTCACCAAATTACCAACTTGGGTCAGATTTATAGATAAGAATTTGTGCATATAATGAGTGCAAACTATATGTATCTGGTGCACCTAGTGGCGGTCACTTGATATACTTGATAAATGAAATATTCTTGAAACAAAAAGCCAGCTACAAAAGAAAATGCTAATCCAAATGCATTTACTCTCTTCTCAACTCTCATCACATTTAAAATTATATTCTTCAATGCATTTTTCTACTGCCTTTAAATTCAATAGCTTTCTTTTTTAGACAAGGCAAATCAATAGGTATGGTTTAATCAAAGGAATTCATCAATCATGAAGTTCTGAAATGGTCAAACCTTAATTGCATAATTGCAGACCCTTGTGAATGTCTGTTGTTTACTTCACATGATGTTGAATTCTGCCGGGAGCGATCATTAGCCACCAGATCACGTTGCAATAATTTAATCCGAAGCAATGCCTGTGTTCATGCATAGAAAAGTAGTCAGAATCAGATCTAGTAAAAAACATAACATAGCAAAAGAAGAAGAACCGCCCTTTGGCTTCTGTTTTACCTGAATGCGACCTCTTTGTGCGAACTTAGACACGGTTCCACGCTCTGACAAGTTGTTGAGCTCCCTGAGCCTGTCATTCTCCATCTGCATAAGCAAATCATTGAATGCCTGACGCCCTCTAATTCGCAGGGGACACACCAATTTATGCTCCGAAGGTGGTTGTTGTTGACCACATTCACGCTCTCTACAAGGAGAACCTGTCACACTACTACTAAAATACCCTTCTTGGTCATTCTCATCAACAAAGGAAGCTGTTGGACTCTGATTCTGGCTGGTAGAAGTGAGTTTCTTTATGATGCTAGCAACACTGACACCACTCTCAGACCTGGCTTGTGGCGAAATGGAATGGTCACTCGATTCCCACTCAGGAATTGAGGACTGAAAGGAACTTTCTTCATTCCCTGAGGGTCCATCAAAGCATTCTTCCTCGGGGAATGAAGCATTAGCATTCTCATTCGTGGGAGAAGAGGACGAACCAATCTTCTCAGACGATGTGTTCGTTTTGGAGACACCCGATTGTTTCAGTCTCTTCTCCCATATCTGAACAAGAGAAGAGGCAGCCATATTAGGGATCTCCAAGGAGCACGATTCTTCCTCAGATGTCGAACTGGGTGTCCTTGGGAAAATGTCAACGTCATCCATTGACAACAGTTCAGCCCCATTTTCCAAATTCGACACCATCTCCCGAGCCTGTCTCGCTGCCCATCGATCGAGAAGCTGTGAGTGTCTGGGGCTGATCAACATGGACAAAGAGGTCTCCTTTTTGTTGTTGTTGTTGCTGCTGCCGTTGTCATTGAAGGAGTTGGCTCGTGTGAAACGAAGTTTCTCCAAGCGACTGTTTTTGGGAGCCTTACGCTGGTTAACGCCTTTGTTCGTGCTGCCGCCGCTGTTGTTTTCGTTTGTTGCGGAATCAGAAGACACCCCCCGGCACGTGTTAATGTCCGTGACAAAGTTCTTTTTGTTTCTTTGTAACTTGGCATGATGATTATGCGTGCCCTTGGCGTTGCTTTCCCTGCATTCTTCGCGGTGGTTGCGGTCTCTAAGAACGGAACCGAAGGGCGAGGAAGAAGCAATCTCAACCTCGGAAGATGCCATGTGTCCGTTGTTGTTTTGTCTTGGTTTGTGGAAACCTTTACGAAGGAGCGTGTGAACGTTGAAACAAGGTAACCCATTTGAGGGAAACGGGTGGAGATATTGGAGACATTGCAACCTTACAAGTCTCTTCTCGTTTTGCCGAAACACAGAAAAAGACAGAAAATAAAAGAAAACAGGGGAGAGTGAAACAGAGGAGGGAGTGAAGGAGGGAGAATACGAAGGAGAAACGAGTTGTGGAACGGAAAATAGGGAGGCTTTTATGGCTTATTAATGCTCCAAATCATCTTAACCTCATTCCCGTTTTCTTTGCCTATAGTTAGAGCTCTTTCGTAACGAAAGTAGAGAAATAAAAAAAACAAAAAATAACGTTGGCTGATAATGTTTGTTTCCTGGTACCTAGGAACGTGTCTTTTGGTTGAGAGGGGTGTGGCTAAAAATGGAAGAAGGCTTGTCGTCGTTGAGGTTTGTTTTGGTTGATGTGAGAAGAATAAGGAAACAGAGTCTCGGAAAAGTGCAACAGAACTTAGAAAACTTAGAATTGTTATAGACGAATATAACAGTATGGTGTAGTGAGAGAGAGACGTTGAGTTTGAACCGTTGATTGTGGGGTAAAGAAAAAGAGAAAAAATAGAGAAAGAGAGCGTCTTATTTATTTCTATTTGCAGATCACTCTCTACTTTTTCATTCTGTTGACCAAATTAACTTCACAAGCAACTCTGATTTTGTGCTTTCATTCACTCACTTTATGCACTTTCCTTTCACACTTTCATCTTCTTTTCATTTTGTTTTCCTGAACAATCTCATCAGTTTTGCAAAATTTTTGTACCAAATTTCATCACTAATAATACTGAAATAGTATATTTAGATATAAAAAAAATGCTAAATATAATAGTTACAGGAAGGAATCAAACTGTTTTCTGGTGCTCAGTTTTTCCTTCTGTTTTCCTTTATGTTTCTTTTATCACACTTAATTACTTTTTAACTGAATGACTGAAATAAAAAAGATATTCACACTTAATTATTTACTTCTACCATTTTTAAATTAAAAAAAATAATTAATTTGTGATATTATTAAAATAAAAATTCCAGTACGATTTGATATATGTATTATTATATTATTTAATAAGTTAATAAGAGATAAGTTGTTGACATGATGGCACAAATACTGTTTAAATAAAAAATATAAAGATTATAAAGTTCAAAATGAAATTTGATTTGTAAGATTTTACGATTTTACATTGTCTTTCTTAGAATCATAGATTAAAATTGCGTGAATTGTATTTTTTTTTAAATTGTTCATTGCATATCAGTTTTATCTTTTTAGTGATTTTAGTTCAAATAAAATCAAAACCGGATTAAAATTTAATACAATAATATGTATATATAATACTTTTGCGAAAAGTAAAATCTTAAGACTTTAGAATCTTAGAGTTTAGGTATATTACAATTTCACTATTTACAATTTTGAGAGTCTTTTACTGTCCTAATCATAATATCAATTTTAAATATCTTTCTTAGATTTATAATATGTTACTTGTCCTGTGATTTAATTAAAATATTCATTTTTTTTACTAAAATGGCTTCCTTTTTCATTTTAGAATACTAATAAATGTGTGTTGATGGGCATTACTTTTGAAAGAATCATTTAAATTTTATTTTAAGTAGGGATGAATTTGAAACGATTTTGATTTGAATTTGTAGCTTATTATAGACGTGTCCGATTTAATTGTGCAATTATATTATTTGAATTTTAATTTGTAGCTACTTTGGTGGGTGTATGTCTTCATTTATGTGTATCATTTTATTAAGCAATTATAGCTTGAATTTTAATTTGTAGTTTCTTTTATTGAAATGTGGGAATAATTTAAATTTGAATTTGAATTNTTATTGTCATTCTAACTTCATGCACTATTAGATTATAGCTGCCACTAATGTTAGATCTTTCTAATTTCAAAAGAAAAAAGAGGTAACTTACATATCATTCTTTTGATTTGATGCTATTTGTTTTTCACCCTTCCTCTGTATATACATGTGGGTGTTGTGTAAGCGTTTGTCTTAGTTTTATTATTATATATATCCTTGTAATACAAGACTCGGACTTTATTATGCTGAACACTGACACATGAACAAGAAAAAAAAGGGTTAAATTTAAAACTATGAAATAATGTACAGTGATGTTGTTTCTCCGCAAAAAAATCATACACTCCCTTGACGAAAGTACATGTAAAAAAGGAGAAACTCGTGTATGGTTTGTGATGTTAATTGTAGCAGCTTGCTAAGGATAGTCGTATGGAGTGATGAGATTCTGTCGAATGTGACACCTAACCGTCAATATATACTCGAACAACATCCACTATTTTAGCCCGACATATGGGACATTTTCCACTGTTACATTGCAGCTCGATGGCACACTTGAGACACGCACACATGTGTCCACACCTGCAATGAAGTTGGTGAGACACGAGTGATTTTTTCTCCTAAAATGGAAACAAACAAATCTTTTCATTCACAAGCAATTAATTAATTAATTACCTGTACAAAACAGAGTCAACTTTCACCTCATAGCAAATGCAGCAGTTGCCTTTCTTTTTTGGAGTCCTGTTACGGGATTTCTTTTTTTCTTTTTCAACTGTAATGGTATTTTCATTGCATCATCAATTGTATTAACACACTCACGTTGAGAATTAAAAGATTATAGAAATGAACACAAACCTGAGTTAATCTCTACTTTCATGGTTTGTTGTAATTCCATCTGCATATTCATGCAGCCCTTTATGATTTTCTTCAGGTCAGACATCTCGTGATAGAGTTGCTCCATGTGCCCTCTCAAATCATATATGAGTTCCATTTCCTGCATGCAGAGAAGTTTTTGCATTTAACAAGAGATTTAGGAGCCCGGTTGTATTCACCATATGTATCAAGATCATACCAAATGCAAACTCACCATTGAATGATGGTTGGTGGATGGAGATGCAGATTGCCGACTGTCCTGATAGAAAGATTGAGATTGATAAGGTTGTCGGGATGGTGAAACAACTCTATCAAAATCGTCACCGGCTTCATTGTCCCTGCAACTGCATGACGAGGAACGATTAGAATAACCACCGGCTTCATGATATGGATCGCTTATCAAGCTCTCATCCTCATGCTCATGCTCATCTGCATTATCCTCCTCTTCTTCCTCAATTGCATCTCTTCCATCTTGAGAAGCTCTTGCAGAATGCAAGCGTTCTTGTAAAAATGCCATCAATTCTTGGCTGTTTTCCTCATAGTCCTGGCTATTGACTAAATGTGCTTGAGTTCCCCTATGAGATTCCATCAATCTATCCATTCTATCCCGAAAGTCACTAGAAAGGAAACTTGACACTGTTCTTCTGCAAAAATAATATACTAATGTTCAGATGAATGAAGTTTATACAAAAAAATAGTTTCACTATAGAACATTATTAAAAATCTTCTTTTGTTGTCCATCTAGTCATTTATGCAACTGACACGAGGAATAATTTAATAGAAAATTATGTACCTTTCAAGAAGCCTCCTTATATCCTCATTCTGAGAACCAGTTTCAAGCATCTCTCTATACCAGGCTTGCCTGCGCTCTTCCCAATAGCTCTTAGGCCTAGAAATTTCACTGATCCAGTTATAATTAGTTTCATAGTCACAATTCTGGTCAGTTTCCTCTCCCTCCATCTCATCACCATAACTGCTTTCAGCATAATTCTGATTACTTGCCTCTTCTACTGTCTCCTGGTAACTGGATTCAGCATACTGCTCGTTACTAATATCTTCTTCATTTACTGTCTCATCATTACTACTTTTAGTATTAGCATTCTGTTCGCTACTCGCTTCTGCCCTGTCTGTCATCTCTTTTAGACCTGAATCAGTCATGGACGTCGTTGCCTCACTAGTTTCTTTTGAGTCATTGTGTTGAGCCTTGGCATCTGAACGTGGATTTGTTTCTTGGATCATGACATCTGAACTTGGAGGAGCTTCTTCTGTATTATGATCTATTCTAGTATGTGAAACAGACTTTTGCGGGGATTTTGTGGCATGATTTGCACTACCATGAGCTGTCTGGTTTCTTGTGTCTTTTCTGACTTGATTAGTGGTGGCAGAGTTACCCAATTGAGTGGTTTTGTTAACTGCCTCTCTTTGAGGACTTCTTGGGTTAGCTACTTCTGCATGGACCGGAATTCTAGGTTCAACCCCACTGCAAAATCTTTCCCTGTATGTCATAAAAACATTTCTCATTTAGTATCTTTCAGGAAAACTTAATGACGAGGGATCTCGCAATGTTCATTTTATTAAAGAACTAAACTTAGATGGCACAAAAATGAACTCTATGTTTAATTAAATGGTCAAAAGCTTACGCAAAATAATTAAAATTGTTTATTCACCAAATTACCAACTTGGGTCAGATTTATAGATAAGAATTTGTGCATATAATGAGTGCAAACTATATGTATCTGGTGCACCTAGTGGCGGTCACTTGATATACTTGATAAATGAAATATTCTTGAAACAAAAAGCCAGCTACAAAAGAAAATGCTAATCCAAATGCATTTACTCTCTTCTCAACTCTCATCACATTTAAAATTATATTCTTCAATGCATTTTTCTACTGCCTTTAAATTCAATAGCTTTCTTTTTTAGACAAGGCAAATCAATAGGTATGGTTTAATCAAAGGAATTCATCAATCATGAAGTTCTGAAATGGTCAAACCTTAATTGCATAATTGCAGACCCTTGTGAATGTCTGTTGTTTACTTCACATGATGTTGAATTCTGCCGGGAGCGATCATTAGCCACCAGATCACGTTGCAATAATTTAATCCGAAGCAATGCCTGCGTTCATGCATAGAAAAGTAGTCAGAATCAGATCTAGTAAAAAACATAACATAGCAAAAGAAGAAGAACCGCCCTTTGGCTTCTGTTTTACCTGAATGCGACCTCTTTGTGCGAACTTAGACACGGTTCCACGCTCTGACAAGTTGTTGAGCTCCCTGAGCCTGTCATTCTCCATCTGCATAAGCAAATCATTGAATGCCTGACGCCCTCTAATTCGCAGGGGACACACCAATTTATGCTCCGAAGGTGGTTGTTGTTGACCACATTCACGCTCTCTACAAGGAGAACCTGTCACACTACTACTAAAATACCCTTCTTGGTCATTCTCATCAACAAAGGAAGCTGTTGGACTCTGATTCTGGCTGGTAGAAGTGAGTTTCTTTATGATGCTAGCAACACTGACACCACTCTCAGACCTGGCTTGTGGCGAAATGGAATGGTCACTCGATTCCCACTCAGGAAGTGAGGACTGAAAGGAACTTTCTTCATTCCCTGAGGGTCCATCAAAGCATTCTTCCTCGGGGAATGAAGCATTAGCATTCTCATTCGTGGGAGAAGAGGACGAACCAATCTTCTCAGACGATGTGTTCGTTTTGGAGACACCCGATTGTTTCAGTCTCTTCTCCCATATCTGAACAAGAGAAGAGGCAGCCATATTAGGGATCTCCAAGGAGCACGATTCTTCCTCAGATGTCGAACTGGGTGTCCTTGGGAAAATGTCAACGTCATCCATTGACAACAGTTCAGCCCCATTTTCCAAATTCGACACCATCTCCCGAGCCTGTCTCGCTGCCCATCGATCGAGAAGCTGTGAGTGTCTGGGGCTGATCAACATGGACAAAGAGGTCTCCTTTTTGTTGTTGTTGTTGCTGCTGCCGTTGTCATTGAAGGAGTTGGCTCGTGTGAAACGAAGTTTCTCCAAGCGACTGTTTTTGGGAGCCTTACGCTGGTTAACGCCTTTGTTCGTGCTGCCGCCGCTGTTGTTTTCGTTTGTTGCGGAATCAGAAGACACCCCCCGGCACGTGTTAATGTCCGTGACAAAGTTCTTGTTGTTTCTTTGTAACTTGGCATGATGATTATGCGTGCCCTTGGCGTTGCTTTCCCTGCATTCTTCGCGGTGGTTGCGGTCTCTAAGAACGGAACCGAAGGGCGAGGAAGAAGCAATCTCAACCTCGGAAGATGCCATGTGTCCGTTGTTGTTTTGTCTTGGTTTGTGGAAACCTTTACGAAGGAGCGTGTGAACGTTGAAACAAGGTAACCCATTTGAGGGAAACGGGTGGAGATATTGGAGACATTGCAACCTTACAAGTCTCTTCTCGTTTTGCCGAAACACAGAAAAAGACAGAAAATAAAAGAAAACAGGGGAGAGTGAAACAGAGGAGGGAGTGAAGGAGGGAGAATACGAAGGAGAAACGAGTTGTGGAACGGAAAATAGGGAGGCTTTTATGGCTTATTAATGCTCCAAATCATCTTAACCTCATTCCCGTTTTCTTTGCCTATAGTTAGAGCTCTTTCGTAACGAAAGTAGAGAAATAAAAAAAACAAAAAATAACGTTGGCTGATAATGTTTGTTTCCTGGTACCTAGGAACGTGTCTTTTGGTTGAGAGGGGTGTGGCTAAAAATGGAAGAAGGCTTGTCGTCGTTGAGGTTTGTTTTGGTTGATGTGAGAAGAATAAGGAAACAGAGTCTCGGAAAAGTGCAACAGAACTTAGAAAACTTAGAATTGTTATAGACGAATATAACAGTATGGTGTAGTGAGAGAGAGACGTTGAGTTTGAACCGTTGATTGTGGGGTAAAGAAAAAGAGAAAAAATAGAGAAAGAGAGCGTCTTATTTATTTCTATTTGCAGATCACTCTCTACTTTTTCATTCTGTTGACCAAATTAACTTCACAAGCAACTCTGATTTTGTGCTTTCATTCACTCACTTTATGCACTTTCCTTTCACACTTTCATCTTCTTTTCATTTTGTTTTCCTGAACAATCTCATCAGTTTTGCAAAATTTTTGTACCAAATTTCATCACTAATAATACTGAAATAGTATATTTAGATATAAAAAAAATGCTAAATATAATAGTTACAGGAAGGAATCAAACTGTTTTCTGGTGCTCAGTTTTTCCTTCTGTTTTCCTTTATGTTTCTTTTATCACACTTAATTACTTTTTAACTGAATGACTGAAATAAAAAAGATATTCACACTTAATTATTTACTTCTACCATTTTTAAATTAAAAAAAATAATTAATTTGTGATATTATTAAAATAAAAATTCCAGTACGATTTGATATATGTATTATTATATTATTTAATAAGTTAATAAGAGATAAGTTGTTGACATGATGGCACAAATACTGTTTAAATAAAAAATATAAAGATTATAAAGTTCAAAATGAAATTTGATTTGTAAGATTTTACGATTTTACATTGTCTTTCTTAGAATCATAGATTAAAATTGCGTGAATTGTATTTTTTTTTAAATTGTTCATTGCATATCAGTTTTATCTTTTTAGTGATTTTAGTTCAAATAAAATCAAAACCGGATTAAAATTTAATACAATAATATGTATATATAATACTTTTGCGAAAAGTAAAATCTTAAGACTTTAGAATCTTAGAGTTTAGGTATATTACAATTTCACTATTTACAATTTTGAGAGTCTTTTACTGTCCTAATCATAATATCAATTTTAAATATCTTTCTTAGATTTATAATATGTTACTTGTCCTGTGATTTAATTAAAATATTCATTTTTTTTACTAAAATGGCTTCCTTTTTCATTTTAGAATACTAATAAATGTGTGTTGATGGGCATTACTTTTGAAAGAATCATTTAAATTTTATTTTAAGTAGGGATGAATTTGAAACGATTTTGATTTGAATTTGTAGCTTATTATAGACGTGTCCGATTTAATTGTGCAATTATATTATTTGAATTTTAATTTGTAGCTACTTTGGTGGGTGTATGTCTTCATTTATGTGTATCATTTTATTAAGCAATTATAGCTTGAATTTTAATTTGTAGTTTCTTTTATTGAAATGTGGGAATAATTTAAATTTGAATTTGAATTTCGTATATTAATTAGAAGCAATAGTTAGGTTATGATATATGCTGTACATAACATCATTATTTTCAGTTGAAATGTTAACTAGCTAGACGTGATTTTATATTGAGACTCAAGTAAATTATCACAATAAAAATAAAATATAATTCAAGATAAAATTTGACCTACCTTTTCAAATTTTAAGATATTTTTAGAATGATTCATGTGATTTCATATGCAAATCATAACGAAACCACATTTAATATAAGATTCTTCCGCTCAATATACTAGTTTTTAAGGTATTTAATACAATTTCTTAAACTTTCATGAATCAATGAGAAATAAGTAATATTATATGTTGATAAATTTATATACTTAAAAAATTGTCAAGATTAATCACATTTGAGAAATAGAGTCAAAATTTTAAAGGTCAACCGAAATTATTCCACAAATATTTTGTATCGCATGTAAATGTAAATGAAGATTTTGCATAAAAGTTTAAGTTCAATAATGTTTGGATTGTAAAATCATATCAATTTTTGAATCTTAGTGATTTTTTTTTTCATTTTAAATATTTTTAGTAATCATCCTTAAAAAGATAACCTATGTCACCGTTACATGATTTATCTATCATAATGTACTTTAGATAAACATATTAGCATTTAGTTACAAGAACAAAAAACTGAGTTATTCTATTTTTTTCCTCTCACTTATACAACATAGATTTAGTTTAACATTGTTCTCTACTCTCACATTAATATTATTTCAATTACCATATTCTTTATTAATTTTGCAATTTTATAATGTGTCATTTTTGTATTATTCATTAAAGATTTCATATACACCCACACACAAACAAAATGACTGTTAATACTATACTATCTTTTTATCTTACATTTTTAATTTAAAATAAATTGTTTATATTAAAAACAAAAAAAAATAGTGTAACTTAGATATTTTACTGATAAATTAAATGACAATTGTATTGTTTTATTTTTGGATAAAGAAAACTCAGGGATTATTTACTTTCTATATCTTAGCATGGTATACTGCATTTACTTTTCTTTTATATTTTTATAACTGATTTTGATTCCTGTGTTATATTATATATATATATATATAAACATTTTATTATTACTTTTATCAATTAAACGACAAGAGATTTCTGTAAAAGAAACTTAACAATATATATAAGAAATATATATATAAACATTTTATTATTACTTTTATCAATTAAACGACAAGAGATTTCTGTAAAAGAAACTTAACAATATATATAAGAAATATTTATATATTGACACTAAATATTAAAAAGAAGACACCTGCATTGCCAATGTTACATTCCAAACACGAAATAATCTTAAATAAATACAACAATCTGTGTCTGAATATATATATATTTTATTTTTTTTTTTATTTTTTTTTTATATATATTTTTTTTTTTTACACATTTTTATTTTTTTATATTTTTTTTTTTTTTTTTTTTATGTCGGAAAGAAAATCACCAGTTACGATCCAGATTTTTCTTCTCAAAATCCACAATTTTGTTGTTGGATACGTGAAGGAGATGATTGCATACTTGCCTTGATGTTGGCCTCTCTTGTGGTGCAGTTTTTGTGCAGTGTATGGCTATCTCGAGCACCTGCAATGCAGCAAACTCTTCACAAGGCAAAAGGGGTTTCAGCTGAGGATCTATCACTGCTTCAACCGCAATGCCTTCCTTCTCAAGCTGCATCTTCACCCATCTCACCATGTCCATCTCTGCTCCGAAAGCTGCATCTGTTGGCACTTTTCCAGTAACAAGTTCCATAAACACCACTCCCATGCTGTACACATCAGTTTTCTCTGTGCCCTTTAGTGAGTATGCATACTCTAAAAATATAGAAATGTCAATCAATGGTTAACAATTGGACAAGATACTTAGATGTTTCTGGAACGAGATTCTGATTAGATTAAATTAAAGTTTCATCAGGGTATTAAAAGTTTGCATTAAAAAGACAAAACTTCAGTTCTAATCGTATCTATGTTTCGTAAAAGAATGAGATAAAGAACAATTCAAGTCAATGGTGTGATCAACTATTACCTGGGGCTATGTATCCATAAGATCCAGCAAAGCAAGAATTAGACAATGCATTAGATTCTGGATTCTCAACGAGTGATTTTTCCAGTCCAAAGTCTCCCAGGTGTGCCTCCATGTCGGAATCTAGTAATATGTTGCTGGATTTGATGTCCCTGTGAATGATCTTTGGCACACAATCATGATGGAGGTACTCCACTCCGTGAGCTAATCCCATTGCAATTTTGAACCTTGTGTCCCAATCAAGGATCCTCTTTGCTTTGAGAGGCACCCCATGTAACCAATCCCAAACACTCCCATTCTCCATATACTCATATATCAATAGGTTCCAACCTGTTCCTTTGATTCTGTTGCTACAACAACCCATCAGTTTTACCAGATGCCTATGTTTGACCCTCCCCAAAGTTTTGATTTCTCTTATAAAGCTTTTGTTCAACAGATAATCATCTTTTCCTGAAATCTTCTTCACAGCCACGATCTCTCCAGAGGGCAATTCGACTCTGTACACTGTCCCGGAACCTCCACAACCAACTACGAACTCGTCGCTTAGATTGTTTGTGGAACCCATGATATCGTGCCACCTGAAATCCCTCTTTGCAGGCACGTTTAGAGGGATCAACGATCGTTTATGTGCTCGTGATGAAGAGGAGAAAACAAAACTCACTTCACTGCCTCTCCTGAAAAATTCTTGCTTGGTTTTAAAGAAGACGATCACTACAAGTGTAAGTAAAGCAATTGCAGCTAAAGCTGAAAGTGTAGAGACAATAACCACTGATGTGCTGCTGAAGACTGATCGTTTATTGCCGGAACCATCACCACTTTTGCATCTTTCAAGAGAGGCTCCACAAAGATGAAGGTTCCCTTCAAATGACTCTCGAGGCCAGCGGGAGAATTGCTTATCCAATGCTCCTTGAAGGTTATTGTAAGAGATGTCAAGCTTCTGCAGGCTAGTCAATTCACCAACTGCTGAAGGCACTTCTCCAGTGAGTGCATTGTGAGAAAGATTAAGTACTTCCAATTTTGACAGCATGCTAAGTGAAGATGGGATATGACCAGAGAGATTATTGTAACNACCAATCCCAAACACTCCCATTCTCCATATACTCATATATCAATAGGTTCCAACCTGTTCCTTTGATTCTGTTGCTACAACAACCCATCAGTTTTACCAGATGCCTATGTTTGACCCTCCCCAAAGTTTTGATTTCTCTTATAAAGCTTTTGTTCAACAGATAATCATCTTTTCCTGAAATCTTCTTCACAGCCACGATCTCTCCAGAGGGCAATTCGACTCTGTACACTGTCCCGGAACCTCCACAACCAACTACGAACTCGTCGCTTAGATTGTTTGTGGAACCCATGATATCGTGCCACCTGAAATCTCTCTTTGCAGGCACGTTTAGAGGGATCAACGATCGTTTATGTGCTCGTGATGAAGAGGAGAAAACAAAACTCACTTCACTGCCTCTCCTGAAAAATTCTTGCTTGGTTTTAAAGAAGACGATCACTACAAGTGTAAGTAAAGCAATTGCAGCTAAAGCTGAAAGTGTAGAGACAATAACCACTGATGTGCTGCTGAAGACTGATCGTTTATTGCCGGAACCATCACCACTTTTGCATCTTTCAAGAGAGGCTCCACAAAGATGAAGGTTCCCTTCAAATGACTCTCGAGGCCAGCGGGAGAATTGCTTATCCAATGCTCCTTGAAGGTTATTGTAAGAGATGTCAAGCTTCTGCAGGCTAGTCAATTCACCAACTGCTGAAGGCACTTCTCCAGTGAGTGCATTGTGAGAAAGATTAAGTACTTCCAATTTTGACAGCATGCTAAGTGAAGATGGGATATGACCAGAGAGATTATTGTAACTTAAGTCCAAAATGCTTTGGATATTTTTGAGACTTCCAATCTCAATTGGTATTTCCCCACTAAAGGCATTCCTAGATAGCTGCAGCTCATAAAGATTGCTCAATTTTCCTATTTCTTGAGGGATTGGTCCAGAGAAGTTATTATGGTCCAGCCTGAGGGTGTTAAGAGATACAAGATCACCAATATCACCTGGGAGACTTCCATTGAGAGAATTGTTATTCAAGGAAAGAACAATCAAATTGGGCTGTTTGAGTAGGCCTAGTGGAATAGACCCAGAAAATTGATTGAAGGAGAGCTTAACCTCTCCCAATTGAGACAAACTTCCAAGCCATGGTGGTATGTGTCCAGTTAGAAGATTGTTGTTTAAATCAACGTGTGTCAGGTTATTACACAAAGAAAGCTCGTCTGGTATTCCACCTGTGAGTGAATTTCCTGAGACGTCTAACAATGACAATGCGGTGATTTTTCCCAATGTCCTTGGAATTTCACCAGAAAACTTGTTGTTACCTAATCTCAGCCTGTCAAGGGAAGGTGAATTTCCCAGGACAAAGGGTATTTCACCGTCAAATTCATTATCTGTGACATCAAAAGAAAGAAAGGAACTAGAGCTACATAATGGAACCAAACTACCATTCAGTCTGTTATTTGAAAGATTCACTCTGGTCAGGTTTGCTACATTTATAAGTTGGTGAGGAAGACTACCTTCAAGAGAATTGTTGTAGAGCATGAACAGCTTCAACTCTCTGAGGAATCCGAATGTTGCAGGAATGCCACCTGAGAGCCGATTATCTGCCAAATCCAGCACAGTCAGTTTATGACAGTTCCCAAGTGTGGGGGGAATCACACCCACAAGCTCATTCTGCCTAAGGTGCAAAAAGTTCAACTCTTTCAGCCTCCCTATAGTGAAGGGAATTTCACCACTGAAATGGTTTCCAAAAAAATCAACCATTTCCAAGCTTGAACAGTTACCAATCTCGAAAGGAATCTTCCCTGATAACTGATTATCATAAAGATACATTATCTCCAATTTCCCAAGCCTCCCAATCTCTCTCGGCAGATTACCCCGCAAGTTGTTATGAAACAATGCAAGAATCTGCATGTTAGTGAGGTTTCCTATGAAGGGAGAGATTGAACCATCCAAAGTGTTGTTGTGAAGCAAGAGATCAGTTAGCCCCATCAACCCATAAACCTCAATAGGTATTGACCCATTGAGATCATTGCCTGATAAATCAAGTTGTTTCAGGGATTGGCACTGACCCAACTCAGCTGGTATCTCACCATGTAGTCCACAATCTGACATCAGCAAGTTCTCCAAACTTGTTGCATTGGAACATATGGTTCTTGGAATGGTTCCATGGAGTTTGTTCCCAGAGAGAACCAAATATTGTAACTGACCCATGTTCCCTAACTCCTTTGGAATTTCCCCAGTGAGCGTATTATTTGACAAGTCAAGATTTTGAAGTTTACCCAATTGAGCCAGAGACGGTGGAATACGACCCTCGAGTTCGTTACCCATTAAATTCAGATATGTAAGCTGACTCAGCTGCCCGAGTTGACTCGGAATTGACCCGGTTAAGCTGTTGTTTGCGAGGTTCAGAATTTGAAGTTTCCTTAGTAGACTCAGTTCACTCGGAACCGAGCCATTGAGTCTGTTCCCAGCGGCGCTGAAGACTTCAAGGCTCCAGCAGTACCCCACTTCGTACGGAATCGACCCAGTCAACTCGTTTTCCTGCAGAGTCAAATATTGCAACTCACTGAGTCGACCTAGCTGGGCCGGGATCTGACCGCTGAGTCTGCATGAGGCCAAACCAAGGTACTCAAGGCTGGGCATATACCCAAGTGTCTCGGGAATCGGGCCATTGAGTTGGTTGTTACCGATTCGCAATACTCGGAGTTGCATTAGCGAGTCTAACTCGGTGGGGATATGACCGGTGAGTTGGTTAGAGTGGAGAAGGAGAGATTCCAACGAAGTTAAGTTGGAGAGGGCAGATGGAATAGGACCCTCTAGGTGGTTAGAAGAGAGATCAAGGTGGAGTAGGTTTTGCAAACGACCGAGTGAAGGTGAAATGGACCCACCGAGTGACGAATCGGAAAGGTTGAGTCCCACCACTCGCACCGAGTCGTCGTCATCATCCAAAGCATTGAGCTTCTTTGATCCACATGACACTCCTCTCCAGCTACAGTAATCGGTGTTGTTCTCTGACCAATCACTTAAAACATTTTCTGGGTCTTGAGTGAACGATGATTTCACCTCCAAAAGCACTCTCATGGTGCTCTCATTTCCACGGCAAAGGAGTGCAGAATAAAAACACAAGAGCACAATGCCAAGGGTTGAAATCCTCATTGATGCTTCTCTCATTTTGGGATTGAACAAGTGAAGGAGTTAGTGAGGGAAGCGGTGGTGGGTTGTTCTTTAGCTCAAATAGTTGCTCTTATTAACAGAAAGACACATGAAGACAAGTGAAATTTAATGGTGTAGTTGTGGGTTGGAAAGCGGTAGTGGTTGTTCTTGGATTGTGAGCATGTATTATTGGCAGAAGATAGAAGTCCCAAGCTTCATGGTAATGGTGCATGCTTTCACATGTTCTCTTGAAGTGTGTATACGTGTAAGAAAACTGAGAGGTTTGATTATGATGCGTCTGCATGACATGCATTGGAGATATATAGATGAGTTGGTAGCAGCTGAGACTATGTTGATAAAGCATGCGTATCATCCATGAATGACTATAAATGAGCATGCAACTGTGTCAGTCACCTGCAACAGTGACCAATTACCATTTATGGCAATAACGCTTATTCATTAAATGTGAAAGAGCTCAAAGCTGAGAAGGTCAAACTGAGGGTTAAAAGAGCGCATTGGAAATAGTATCAAAAGAAAAGGTGGTAACAAATGATCCAATAGTAAATATCTCATTAAGAATTTGTGATGTGATACAACAGAAAAAGAAAAAAAAAAGGTGAAGTCATGAAGATTTGAGGTTAGAGTTGTGAAAATATAGAGTGGTTGGGTGAACAAACAGGGAAATATCATTTGTTGGATTTTACAAGGTTTGAAGAAGAAGAAAACCCCATTGAAAGAAAGTGAACAGGTAAATTTCCCTTCAAAATCATTTTGTGTCTGCATCTGTAGTTTGTCTGTTCTACTAAGTCAATGGAGTCCCCACAAAGTGTTTGTCATATTATACGTAAGCCACGTAAGGGGTTCAATCAATGGTTAACATTTGTGTTGTGCAGTTCTTCAAGTAACGCGCATCACCAACAAATAAAACAGAAAGTAAAAATATTGCAGTAAATTGAAGAAAAGTTGTGTATTTTATGCATGGAAATTGTTATTGTTGATGTTATATTGTTGTTGTTCTTCTTGGGAAGCTTAAAATGGGTTGATGTACCAAACCAAGACACGGTTTTGTAGAGCTTTCGTCTTTTTGATTGATTCGTCACACTCTGCATGCACTGAACCCTCTTGGCTGATCTAACTGGTCTTGTCTTTTTTTTTCCGATTTGTCCACCAACAAGGTTACTGTTGTAACTGTAGCATTACTTAATAAACTAGTAATAGTATATTTTAAGTTTAATTAAACTTTAAGTTTATCATAAATTTCGAAAATTTTAATTAAGTCTTTATTCAACTTTGATAATATATTGATTTCTAAAATGTTTTCTTTTAAATGAGTATATGTTGTTAGATTCTTTGACTGTGTATTAATTATTTTGTTGAATTGACAGAAAAGGTTTGCATTGGTAGTTGTAAATTTGTACATTAACACAGATTCAAATGGATGTGAACACATGATAACAATTATAATCGTATCTAGCACATTCATTAAAGAACTTTCTTGTCTCTCTTCATAAATCTTTCAAACTCTTATTTTGAGTTATCATCCTTAAAGCCATATATCAGCCAATAAAGGCAATGAGAATTTGTTCTAGCCTTGGTGATACAAGCTAAAGCACTATAAATCCATTTTGATTTCAAATCTGTGTTGAACTCTGCTGCAGAATTTCAATTCTGTTTTAAATCATGAATCTGTTTTCCAGTTGATTTCTTTTGATTCTGGTGCTTTATACAAACTTGGTTGATGTTGTTGAAGGTTGCTAAAAGTGTAGCAGACCATTACAAGCAATGAAATGCAATTTCCATAGCTTGGTTGCTCACAATTAATAGCATCTCACTGTTCAGTTTTTAATTCCAGCTATTCACCGGGCTAATATTATTTGTTTGGTCTATTCTGAGTTTGGTCATACTAAGCATTCTAATTCTAGCTTAGTTCATTGCATTCATACTTCTTTGAGCCATTTTCACTGTTGCTTAAACCTTTTGATTCTTGGAAACCTGATTTTGGTGGTGTGATGGAATTTTTTACTGCATAATTGGCTATAGCAAGGTGTGATTTCGGTTTATGTTGTTTCTGTGCTGTTGGAAAGCTTGAACAAGTTTAATTTGATGTTTGAAACTTGCTAGCACAGTTCATTTAATCATATCCTGGCCTATGTGCAAATTTGCTTTTTAAACCATCACTTTTTGGGTTAAAAAATGGAAGTGGAGTAGTGATTTTGAGTTGCAAGCGATTTATAATTCATTTCAGAGTTTAGGCACATTTAAAATCATTAAAGAAAGTTGCTTAAACAGTCAGTTGTGCTTTTGAATCACTTCCATACGAAATTGAGTGTTAAACCACCAAACCAGGGACATTTTTCTGGTGCAGAATAGCTATTCCAGCCACTGTTTTGGTATTTCTTCTTCAAATTCATTTCTGGATTGTGGAAAAAGCTGGTTCAGTGTTTAGATCGAAATTAAATGATCAAAAGAAGTATAATCAAGTGATAGAAAGCGTATAGAACCTTGCAATCCAGATTAGAGGCCCTAAAACTCAAAAATTCAAAATCTGAAATTCATTTGGGCATTTTATCAAACACTTTGCAAAATATCAAACAGTTTGATTCTGGATGTGTTTTGATCTGCGATTTTGATTTCTTTGCTTGTTTAATCCATTCTAGTACCTTTCTCAGGTTCCTTTTGTGTCCCTACTGTTGTTCAACTCCTAGAATCATTTGATTTTGCATTTCTTGACCTCTAGAATGTCCATTCCAAATCTGTTATGCTGAGAACTTTGATGCCGTGAATTTACTTCTGTTTGGTGTTTGTGTTGGCTGAATTCATTGGTGCTGTGACGTCATATTGGAGTTTCAAAGCCTCAGTAACCATACCTACCAAGGTAGCATTTTAGGGAGTGGAGAAGGGGTTGAATGGTAGCATGAGAGTGCTGACCAGCAAGTGAAATTGCCACTGTTCCAGCAACATTTCAGCAAGAAAAACAGTGAAAATTTTGGCAACTTCACTAGCCAAATTTTGAGATACAAGCCAAACAGTTGAGTGATGGTGAGATTGAGTATCTATCATTTAAAAGAAAGTTGCTAGTGGAGATAAAACACCTGAAACAGTACAGGAAGTGAGATTTGAGTGAATGCACATGAAGCCAAATAGCTTTGGGCCGAGAGAAACTCTTCACTATATTTCAATTGCTGAAAAAGTTCTTTCCTAAATCTGAATTGTGCTAATTACTTAGATTTGTGCAGCCTTTGATTTAATTGACATTCACAGATGGAGAATTGAAACTAACCACATCTGACCATTTCAGATTTCTTAAGCCTTTTAGATATCTGGTTTTGGATAGTTGTGCAATCTGTTTTGACCAGTTTGGTTCATTAATTGTGATTAATTAGGCAAACACTCCTTATATTACACGCTGTTTGATACTATTGAACTGTCGATCTTGCTGCTTGTGCAAAAAAACTTGTTTTTGAAAGCTGATACAGCAAAGTAATATACGGCAGTGATACAGCATCAAATTCAGTTTTAGAACATGAGTTGCTGCACTTAGGCTCATATACTCATTTTTGCTGAATTGAAACTTGTTACTTTTTTGTATAATTTCATAATAAGATATCTAGTATTAATTTAGACATAGAAAAAAAAAAACATTGTATGTTCTTTGATTGATTGTCCATTTATTTGCTACATAGAAAAAATATAGCTATATAGAAAAAATATAGCATAATGTTATAAATTAATTACTGTCTATTAATTTGTAACATTTATTCATAGGATTGATTTGTTACAATTATTTATATTATTGATTATTTTTAATGAAATTTAAATATTTGTATTAACTTTTTGATTTATATCATTTTTGGATTACATTTTATATAAATAAGACTTTTCTTATTAATATATACACATAAATTAGTCTTCATTCTCTGTAATACTTTTCTCTTCATTTTTTTCTCTTATCTCTATTATTTGTTTTATTTTCTCACACATTATGTACACGATACTCTAACCTATATTGGGGTATTTTCTCTCTAGATACGGCTTTGCGTGTGTCAACCCATGTTCTTTCTAATTTTTTATTTATTTATAATTTTATCTTATATTCTTATTTTTGTGATAATAATTATTTGATTTTGTCAATTTTCATCTGCCTTATTATTATTATAGTTATTATTTATATTTAATTAGTTTTCTGATATTTAATATTGTTATATTAATCTTATAGTTTGATACATTAAAAGAGATTATTATTATTAATATTTTATAAGCTAATTTTATACATGTAAAATCTTGAAAATTTTAAATTTGTGACCATTGATATTTTAAAGAAAAATTACTTATCTTAGATATTCTACTAAAAAATTTAGATACAATAAATATTAGTGATTAGTGATGTCATTAAAAATATAATAAAGCATTTCAGCAATTAATTTTATCCTTGAATACTTTTGGAAAATTATATGGAAGTTGTTCTACTAGTATTTTTTAATGAATTATTCAGTCATGTCCTAGCTATATAGAAGTATCATTTTTCTTCATAATAATAGGAGAGAGATAAAGTATGGAAGAGTTGTGCTAGATTTTGAGGTGAACAATAACAGAAAACAAGGGAACATGCTAACATGTCATGTGTTGCTCCATTTTGTGCTTGGCACGTTTGTCTCAGCCTTAAAATAATCCCAAGATCATCTTCTCTGTATAAATCACTCACCTATCACCCATGTCACACCTATCATATATACCTTATTTTAGTTCATTTGTGGTGTCTATAACCCAAAAAAGAGAGAATATGTGTAACTCTTCGCTCCCATTGTTTCTTCTTTTGGTTCTCTGCATCGTTTTAGCCTCAGCTGATCCTTACTACGGAAACTCTGACTATAAACCTTCATCATCTTCATACACAACCACAACAAGTGACACTGTCTTCTCTCTTAAAGTACCAACGTTAGATGAAACCACATTCGATGATCTTCTATCCTTTGGTTACTACCGTAAAAGCTGCCCCCAGTTTGAGTCCATCCTACACAACAAACTGAAAGAATGGATCAAGAAGGACTACAGTTTAGGAGCTAGTCTCATGAGGCTCCACTTCCATGATTGCTCTGTCAGGGTACATAACATGCATTATCATTATCTGAGAGTGAAAAAGTGTTTTACTCAAACAATAACACAGTATATCAATATTATTTGAAACAATGCAGGGATGTGACGGGTCTATTCTGTTGAAGCATGATGGAAGTGAGAGGACAGCAGAAGCTAGCAAGACACTGAGAGGGTTTGAAGTGGTGGATGATATCAAGACAGAATTAGAGAAACAATGTCCCA